AGGCAGTAAAGTTTAAAAGCCTTAGAGCTACTACTTTAGAGCTACCCCCCTGTTTCTTATTAGCCTTATCGCCCTTACTAAAATTTACTTAGAGCTAGTAGCTCTAAGCACGTTCTCTAGAGTAAGATAGCGTTGTAAGCCTAAAGTATAAAGAAAGCTAATTACTAATTAACCTATCTAACTTAGATAGGCTAGCAGAGCGTAAACAAATAGCCTTATTAATAATATTATAGGCTCTATATACTATCTTACAGTAGAAGTTAACCTACTTCTAGTACCTCTTACTATCTCTACGTGCGCTCTGCACCTTATTATAGTATAATTTAACTTTACTCTTAGCCTTAGTCGCCTCTTACTTATAGTACGCAGCTAATTTCTTAAGATATTTCTTCTCTTTACAGATAACTATAATCTTCTTAGTATAGTAGTAAATAAGCTATATAAGAGACTTAACGTAAGCAGCGCTTTCTTTAAATTTATAGAATAGCTGCTTAGCTATCTACGTAAAATTACTATAGCGCGTAGTAATAGTGCTAGTGTAGAAGAGTATAGTAGAAAGTAAAGTACTCTAGTATTTATAAGAGCTAGTAGTACTCTATAGTTTAGAAGAGCTAGTAGTATTCTATTATTTAGAAGAGCTAGTAGTGCTCTAGTGTATAAAAGAGCTAGTAGTTGTTACACTACTACTAAGCTTAAAGAAATTAGGTACTCTAAGCTTCTTATAAGAGTATAGAGGTAGTAAGAAAGTAAGTTAGAGTAGTAGTAGAGCTTGCGTCTATAGTAAAGACATATTAATTTTAATATAAGCGCGCTTAGTTAATATAATTCTAGTAGAAGAGAGAGCGTAAGTAAGTAAATATAGAGGTAGTGTACTATAGAGAGATAAAGTAAGTACCTAAGGCGCAATTTAGTAAGAAGGTAGATAGAAAAGTAAAGACATTAAGTAGTAAGACGTAATAAAAGAAAGTAGAGCTAGCGCGCTCTAGAGCTAAGAAAATAATATTCTAGGTTAGCTAGCTACTAATACTAAGTATAATAGAGTATATATAGCTATAGAGGCACTAAATTTAACACTAAAAGCGCCTATTTTAAGTACTTAATTTAGTAACTAATTCTAACTATAGGCGCCTAATTTTAGCTTTAATTTAAGCCTAAAATTTAGCTATAAGCATTAAAATTTAGCTATAGGCGTTAGATTTAGCTATAAAGGCGCTCTTTTTTAGCTATAGAGGCACTAATCTCTAGCTATAGAGGCGCCTATTTTAAGTACTTAATTTAGTAACTAATTCTAACTATAGGCGCCTAATTTTAGCCTTAATTTAAGCCTAAAATTTAGCTATAGGCGTTAAAATTTAGCTATAGGCATTAGATTTAGCTATAAAGGCGCTTTTTTTTAGCTATAGAGGTACTAATCTCTAGCTATAAAGGCGCCTATTTTAAGTGCTTAATTTAGTAACTAATTTTAACTATAGGCGCCTAATTTTAGCTTTAATTTAAGTCTAAAATTTAGCTATAAGTATTAAAATTTAGCTATAAGCGCTAAATTCTAGCTGTATATAGGCTATACTAGCAGCAAGCGCAGTAATTACGTAAAGAACTTTAAAATTTAGCTCTAAACTTCCCTACTCTATAACTTTACAACGTAAGCAGCTATTAATAAGCTAAGTGTAGCGTTAAATTCGCGCAGTAATTCTGCACAAAATAGCCTACTTAGATTTTATCTAGGCTCTTAGGCAGTAAAGTTTAAAAGTCTTAGAGCTACTGCTTTAGGGCTACCCCCTATTTCTTATTAGTGCTTATCGCTCTCACTAAAATCTGCTTAGGGCTAGTGGCTCTAAGCACGTCCTCTAGGGTGGGCTACTGTAGATGCTTTAGCTTTATAAGCTCCTTCAAGGTAGTGCGCAAAGTCGCTAGGCGAATCCCGCACTTGTTGAATATAAGCGACGGTAGGCATGTTTCGGGGTACGTGCTGCGAGTTCTAGGAAGTCCTTAGTTAGGTAGATACGCGAGAGTTGCGCAGATGGCGGAGATGCAGGTAGTGCTACAGGCAGTGGAAGCCTTCGAGGTCCTAGAAGGCCCTCGCGACGCTATGCGAGTGGATCATGCGACGCTCTAGTAATCCTAGGCCTGCCTTCCGGCCGACGGCTTTCCCTAGTAGCTGCTCTGCCTCTATGCGCTGCGCGCTGTGTGGCCCTTCGCTGCATACAAGCTCTAACATCGTCCCGTTTTCGCTATATCGCCCCTTATCCACTCGCCCGGTTCTATGCCCTGTGTCCTGTAGCCGCTGTTGCTGTAAAGGCTCTCGATGTGCCACTCGCGTTGCGGGGTTGACTATGCGCGCGACGCACTCGTTGAACGTCTTGCGCATGTCCAAACTCTACTTCAGGTCGTTCGCATTGTGGGAGTACCGCAGCCTGGGCGCTTCGACCGCCCGCCCGCGCGCATACCGGTAGATGAAGGCTCGATGATGGAGGTTCTACACCGTGTCGAGCTCGATGGTTTCGTAGACGTGCTCTTCAGCCAAATATTGCAGCGCGCGACTCCTCTATGCTAGGGCGTATGGTTGACATCGACGAATACATAGCAGTATAGTGTGGAGGCGCGATGTTCTCGTGTGGGTGTGGGTGTGGGTGTGGGAGAGTGTCGAGAGGCAGCCTTGGAGGGCGCTTCGCCGCGGGAAAGCCGCTAATGACGTCACGCGTTAGCGCGTCAGCATTCACCTGGGCACTCTCACGAACTTGGATGGGCGCTTCCTCATATAGTCTATACATTGCAAAACGATTGTCCAAATATACTCTGTCGCCAAATGCGATACCAAACGACACTCCAAAACGCCTCTACTACGATGCAAATCCCGCCCAAGAACCATCCATCGCCTCGCCACATGGTCTAGGGCTTGCCGTCCGCGTTCTTGTAGCAAGGGAACCAGCAGTTGAAGCTCTGCGTATTCGGTGCACTCCCATCCACGACCTTGCAGAAGCGCGTTGGTTGCCGATTCGGGTCCGATTCGGGGTCTGTCCATGGACCACGACCGTTGCCCTTCATATCCGAGTCCCAATCGAAGAAGTTGACATTTGCGCCGTTTTGTCCGGGTGTGTACTCAAACTCCAGGTTCGTACCAAAGTTGCCGGTGCGCTTTATCTGCAGATCATTGGGAAGGCCTTGCAGGTCGCACGTGTCGCCGTTGTTGGCCAAGTTGCACTGAGCTGGCGTGAATTCCTTGTTCTCCCAGTCACTGAGCTTGATGTCCTTGATCGTCGCATCGCCGTCGCGCGTGAACTCGACGCCGCATTGATAAAGCTCCGCGTAGGCAGTGTCAGTCAATTTATACTTGTTGTCGTCGCCATTGCGGTTGTAGTAACTGCTTAGCTTGCCGGATGCCCACGTCTTCTCCGAGAGCTCGAATTGCATGCCGTCGGAACCGCAGACACCCCTCGGGTTTGGGTTTGGCTGACAAAACTTGAGTTTAGTCTGATCAGCACCAGTGATGTCGAACTCCACGTCGAAGAAGTCGTCGCGGACCATACCGTTGCTTGTTACGATGCGACCCAGCTTGCGACCGATGTCTTGATTCTCGTCAGCTACCATGCAGCGTAGACTGTTTGGTGCCAGTCGGTTCGGATCGCCGAATGGTAACTGCTGAGACATTGCAGGTGGCCATTCATCACAATCGTAATCACCCGGGGGTGCTGTCTTGAGGCTCCACTTCTGGCTGAAGGGGAACTCGCCACAAGGGCTTTTGCCTCCAGCAGAGCACCCAGATGCCTGTCGGTTGCGTGCTTTCTCCAACTCGTTGCCTTTGGTGGGCCCAACGTACACGATTCTGCTTGGATTCTAGATGCCGGCGGCTAGGGCCTACCGCAGGCACGAATCAGTTCAAGTTTAAAGAGAGTGAGCTAGCAAATACTAACCACGCAATTAATGTAGTAACAAGCATTATTGCAAGCACCCTCTCCACCTTTACAGTTCACAGTCTGTCTGCCGAAATCTGTCCCAGCGCGCTTCACAAACATTCTGTCTACCCTTCCTAGTGCTACCATGTCAGGCATGTTATTACCCTGCTCCAAGCCCATCAAAGCCTAGAGCAGTAGAGCGATAGCCACAATGTAATGCATGCTAGGCAACGGAACAGACTTATTTAACGAGTAAGGTATTAGAAAGCTCTAAGAGAAGTCAAAAGCGCAAACTGCGTTCAAGATACAAGAAAGAAGAAGACTTATAACAGAGAGAGCTATAAAGCTAGAGAAATGTGCTAGTAGTAAAGAAACATCAGTAGAATGTTGCAACCTCTTTTATACCAGTGCGAGACTAGGTCTACCTCAGCGCATTCTACCCTCATAGTCATAGTACTTTAATCCTAGCGGCTGTATCTTAGGGGCTGCATAACACGTTCCTACAAGACACCATACTCTCGTAGTACTCATTCTCAACATAGTACCCAGGCGTCCATCAGCGTAGACTAGAAAGTCAAAGTCTGACAGCTCAAACAGCCCCGGCATGTCTTAAGTAGAAAGAACGCCTAACTACTTCGAGCAACACAGCCACATGTGTAGGTAATCATAATATCTAGAAAGGTAGATTTTCGGGGGGCCAGGAGCCGGGCGATAGTAGGCATAGTCAGCGTGTACGAGTGATCGTAGGGCTGTCTACAGTGCCGCCAACAATGTGCGACAAGGCTGAGTACATGTCCCTCAAAAAAGATTGCGATACCCACACAACCATGCTAGTGATGCAGTCGTGATTCGTCGCGTTGAACGTTTTAGACAAGATCCTCGTCTAAGCTTACAGTGCAGCTACAGGTCAAGAATAAGGTGCAGCGCAGCTGCGCAGCAGGGGGCCTCGCGTAGGCATCCGCTCCGCCTCACTACATGCACCTGCGAACGCAAGTGACGTCAGTAAAGAGTAAGACCATTAAGGCCGCGACTTCGTCGCAACAATAACTCCGCAGACTTATTAGCTTTCTCACTCTCAAACCCTAGCCACAACCTTGCACAAGGACTATGTCTAACCCTCCCTACGCGCTCTTCGTCCTCGACAAGAGCATCACCAACAAGGTCAGCAACAACGAACCTCTCGAACACGTGCGCAACACTAACAACTACAGTATCTAAACTCCGTTCTTAAACGCGCCTACCATAGCGACGGCGACTCAGGCTAGAACTTCTAGGTCGCGACAGATTCCTACGACGACCTACCCGCATACCCCAAAGTCCACAAGCCCCCTCCGCCCGGTAGCACAGAGGCGCCTGTACCATCCTCCTTCGTCTCTCCCTGGCTCGGCAAGACGCCCGAAGATTACGCAAAGTGGTTGCAGGCGATGCCACGCACCAAAGACACTAATAAGAAGAAGTTCAGGGTTGACACGCCTGTAAATAACCAGTACTTTGTTTTCCTCAACAAGTTCTCGAAGGAAGAAGATCTAGTCTTCGTCGCGCGCATTGTCGAGAAAGATAGGGAAGAGATAAGAGTTAAGTATTTTCCGCAGTCGACGGACAAAGTACAGAATCAGATGTAGACGAATTAGCAGTTCGACGAGAGAGCGATCATGTACCAGCGCCGGCAGTTTAGCAACAGGGAGCCAGATCGAAGTCAGTTCAAAGCGCCCAAGAACTAGAGGTGTATAGTAGCAGACTCTCGCGCGGATAAAAGAGGCTGTCATTGCATACATAAGAACTAATAGCGGCGGTAGATAATTTCATCTCTCTTCTTTTATTTATGAGTCGCTCTCCATATCTATTCTCAATTCCATCGTTCCACAAGGAAGCTCAAGTTGTCCATTGCGCAAGCTCCTGCCGACCGCAGTCGCGCCAGCTAGCAACTGTAGTGTAGCTACCGTACCAGTCAGTATAACAATCGTAAAAGCAACGCTCGTGCCGCTCAACGTCCACGCCACCTTAATTAGTCCGTTAGGTGTCGGCACCGTCCCGCTAACTTCTAACTAGTTCAAGAACCCTATCATAGAGGTAATAAGAACCGTTTCGTACCCGGGAGAGGTTAGAGCGACGCCGAGAAGGTATTCTAGCAGTACATACGTCGGAGCTGCACCCCACAGATGCGCTAAGCTAGTGAAGAGATCAATACCAGGTAAACCGTCAGGCTTCACGTATTCCCAACTCGCGCCAGAGTAATACTCATTCTTGTTAACCATGCTACCCCACAGGTTGTCGAGCAGATGCTTAATAGCAGGTATGCTGTCCACTCCGAAGTCACACCTTAACATAAATAGAGCTTCCAATAGAAAACCTAATAGATTAGGAGCTAGCTAGTAGTCGTCTGTCTCCAGGTCGCTCGAGATAGTCTTGTAGCCTACAGCGAAACGAAGCTCCTCAAGCTTAGCGATAGAAGATGCTGCTTAGGTGTCGTTGGCCGCACCAGATAGAATTACCCAGGCGATACCGGTCAAGGAGAAGTTGCCTCGATCAGTAGTTAAGAGTGAGTATGTTCCAAGCTAATCATCCCATAGCTCACGATTGAGGGCCTCGCGCAGCTTGCTTGCTGTTCGGGAGTAATGTATCAAAGACTCTTCGTCGCCCATCGCAAGCGCAAGTAGCGCGATCTCCTCAAGCATGTAAGCGAAGAGACCGGTCGTTGCACTACCGTTAGCTAGCCCCAGGAAGCTAGATAGCAATAGCACCTCCGGAAAACCTCCAATGAGACTAGATGAGGGATCAATAAAGGCCAATCTCGCGGTCGCAAGTTTCTTAATCTAATCCCAGTAAGGGCTCAGCCCGTCGCGATCTCCAGTATAGCAGAAATATTAGCCGATTCCTGCTAAGAATAGGTCTTGGTAGTCGACTAGTATAGCGTAATTTATAATGTTTACTTCTTTATACTAGAGTCGAGCTCCAAGGTTAGTAGAGATCTAAGTAAAGCCAGCGTATAGGCCTTCATCAAGCTAAAAGCTCAGCGCGTATATAATAGTGTTCAGGAGGTAGTCGAAACGCGCAGACGAGGCTGCAACAACGCGCACAGTATAATAGAAGTCTCCTGTCCAGACTAGGCGATCTCGTTTAGCACCATCCAGGCAGACTGAGTGTTCGAGAGGTGCAACCTAATACTCGGCCAAAACATCTTCGCTCGTTAGAGGATTGCGATATATAATAGTGCCATTTCCAGCAGTAACTATAACGTCTTTGTAATACGCGATCTAATCCTACATACCTCCGAAGCCCCATATGCCTTAGTATCAAGAGGGAGAGATCAATTCCCCAGGAGCTACAGGTGGAGGTAAAGGTACAAGCGCAATCTCAGTCCCGTTCAGGCCAATCCTATATCCAGTCCCCTCGATCGATGTGCTCACGCGATACCATGTGTCCTCCTTAATAGTCGTGTTGACAGTAAAGTACTAGGCCTCCGGCACAGGTAGTGTGCTCTAGTTTACTAGACTCCATCCATAAGTGAACGCCAGTGTGTTTAGAGGCAAGAGTGTCCGGTTTGTATTTGCGAAGGTGTTCCGCTCAGAGTATTCGGATGTAAGCACAAAGTAAGGCCCGAGTAGCTGCATTGCACTTGCTACTCTCCAGCCAGCGCCGCCTCAGGCGATCTTAACGTCAAATTCCAGTGTGTAATTAACTGCGTCAACTCCTAGAGAAGACTGCGCAGTAGTTTAGCCCCAAATGTATACTCCTTCTTTTGTTATTTCCCACGTAGAAGGCGCATTTCCGGCATCTACGCATGCTACTTAAGCGACGCGACCTCCGAGGTCCAAGACGCGATTCAATGTCTGATCGGATGCCTGTAAGCGGCCTGATAGCATTTCAGCGTCCAAGTTTAAGCTTGTTGCGCGAAATCCTAGATTATCAATAGTGACGGAGCCATTCGTAATCAACCGTGCGGTCTGCCATCGCTGGCCTCCTTGCACGAAGAAGCTCTCGATGTATCCCGTTCCTGTAACGTTAAAAGTTTCCACTCGGAAGAAGTTAGATAGTCCATTCGAGAATGTCCAAGGCCCGTCTGAGAATGGCTCTTCAACGCCGCGGTATTCTTCGCTATACTTTACTTCGATCTGCACTATTCCAGAAATTGCTAAAACGTGGAAGAACGGGAAGCCGGCTACTTCGGTGCCGTAGTCAAGTGTAACGAACGGGCTAGCTAGAGATAAGATCAGAGTCTCATTCGTCCACGGCTTCAAGCCAGATAATAAGGGCGCAGGTTGCTAAAGGTGTGATTTAGGTGCAATCGAGCCATAATCTACAAAGCTATTGTTGTAAGTAATCGATCCTTTGTATGTATTTCTAGAGGCTTACGCAGTCGTCAACGAGTTAAGAAGAATTGTAATAATCGCAAGACGCTAAAGAAGATGCATCACTGCTTCCGTGCGAGGTAATCTTAACAGGCTTTCGTTGGCAATGCAGCCGGACCATAACTATAACCAGCAGTCGGTCGGCCGTACAACAACAACTAATAATCAGCAGGTGGAGAAGGAATAGCCAATAAAATCGTGACTCTCGGTGCAAATGTAACCGACGCTAGGTAGCTTCGGCAGTTATACGCTTTCCATTAGCTAGCTTACTCAGAGCGTTTTTGAAACCAAGAGAGCCAGGTACCCCGCACAGCGGCTTGGCCCACAAAGAATCATAGCCCGTATCGCGCATTGTGCAGTTATCGTACAGGAAACCTTTTCCAATTTCCATCGTAAGGTGCAGCCCGGGTGACGCTCGTTCAGCTTCGGAGCAATAGTTGTAACTGCGTTGACGTTGCTTCTATGGTGCTACGACTTTACGCTCTTCGCCAACGTTGTGAAATCTTCTCTCAGCATATTTCGAAGGATTGTAGCTGCCCTCGCAGACTGCGCGATAGCATCTTCAACGGCTTGTACGTCGCTCATACTGATCTGCAACGTCCCGGACAAGAGCTCTTTGGTGATGTCATCTCCTGTTGTGACTGTCATCTTCTTCGTACCCGTGATACCCAAGTCGACCTTTGTGGTAGTCGCCCACGGTGTGCTGTACCACAGCCACATCTTCCCGCCGCATGGCATCCAGTACCGCCAGCTAATGTTGTAACCCTCGTTCGCTGCGCCTTTGGGTCGGAAGTTGGAAGGCAACGTCGTCTCGGGGTCCGGGACTTGTTCGTCGGCGATGCGACCGGAGAGCACGCGACACGACGGTATCAGTTGTATCGCGCCAGAGACACGGACAGCCAGAATACACGAATCGTAAAGATCCATTCCGGATAGAGGCGAGCCCATGAGCCATGCGACACTTGAGAGTAACGTGTCGCCAATGACGGCAACCACAGTGACGTTCAGCTCAGACCCTGGATCTGTGCGCGTTGGAAGCTCGAGGTAGTCAGTGTAGTCAAAATTGGCGTTGCGCAAGAGCATCCTGATGGTCACAGGATCTTGTGCGTCGTTCGCATAGCTAAGCACGCCGCGGGGGTGGTTCAGAGTCTGATGCCTCGACACACCAACCGCCAGTCCAAGAAGCCGCAAACTCAACTCCGGTGGCCGGTTCTCATCTGTGATAGTAGGCGTAATGATATGTTTCATGTCATCTACCTGCTGAGCGAAGTGGAAGAAGATCGATCGAAGCGCAAGCCAAATGACCTGGAAACCAAGCCAGATCCGGAAACAGATGGCCGGCTCATTGGAAAGAACGGCGTATGTGGCAAGGAGAGAAGTGACGCAAACGACGGCACCTAGAATCCAGAACATTTGCCACGCGCGACCTCTGCGAAGGTTGACAGGTGCCCCGAGGAGAATCCTACGCTCTCCTCCGATGACTTGTGGTGTAGGCAGCGACCCAGAGACGACATCAAAATGTCTTGACTGCTCGCCGGGTGTTGTAGCTCTTCCGACGTGGAACAACTGCAACGCGATCGCCGAGAAGAAGGTGTACGCCCAGATGGCTCCAGTGACCAGGAAGACGCGTCGAGAGCCGAAGTGGTAGAGCAGATACATCTCTATGACCTTCAGCATGGTTGCGAACGTAACGATCCAGTCATATTTGGTTTGTGAGCGTTGTGCAATCTCCCAGTAATGATCTCGCATGTAGACGTGAGCTTGCAGATGCTCTCCGGGTTGCATTACTGTACAAGATCGCAGGGGGCCGGCCGTCCATTCATCGAAAGCGTAAACATCTTCGAAATCTTCGCTCCCAGCGGTTATCAAAGTAGAACCTTCTCTGGTCTGAAGTCGATTAGACACGTCCTCGTATGTGCTTCATAATCTTGACTTACCTTGGTCCACTTCACCGTCACTCCAACGGCACTGCCAGTGACCACGCGACTGTTTGACTTCCTATTCAGATTCATGCAACACCCAATAGCCTTATCAGAACCACTGGTTCTTACACCAACGGTATCTCGAAGCCATCCTGGTGTGCAGGCGGATATGCATGCTTTGACGATGAAGATCGACCCAAAGGAGCTCAAAGCCGCCCATGGCAAACCGCAAGCGCCGCGATTCCCTAGAGCAATCAGCTCAGCAGTCGAGCCCCCGATCACAGCAGTCAGAGCCGCGATTTCGACCAGACCGCCGCTGAAGTTCACCTCCTGTTCTTCGTCTAGACCGCTTGCGCATACATGAAACATCATGGAAACGTTTGGTGGTTGTTTTGCGCTGCTGAAAAGATAGGAAGCGATGCGACGCCTTTATGTGATAGCTGACACAAATTTCCGGTGTAGGTGCAGCCTGGCGTGATGCACGTTCAGCTTTGGAGGGGTAGTTGTGGCTGGTCGGCAAGGCTCTCATTCGTTTGCGCAAGCATACACAACACTTGGCTGCATTGCAGTTGTCGCAAGAAATACCAGTTTGCCGTAGGAAGGCTTATCGTCTATGGAGGAGTCGACAGCGCTTGCAGGCGTTCTGAACCGCGCCTATCCTCATCGCGATAGCCACAGGCGCAATAAGAGAAGCTGAGCTACATTGCGCAGCCTAGGTAGCTTGTGCGCGCTTCTATCAGCTCGTGTCATCTCGGGTGTCCCCCTGCCTCTTCTTTTATCTCGTCAATCCCGGTCGCGCAGTAGCGGTGGTATTGGGCGGGTTAGACGAATCGCAGTCAAAGTCGCCAAAATTCGCGAAAATGTGTCGCAGCATAGATCGATGCGCGAGCTGGTCGCGATGGTGGCATCGGTTGTCGCATTGGGGCGTTGTTCAAGTAATGAGGAAGGGTTGCGACGGATCCGTTGTTGGTCAGGCGAATTGTTGAGACGTTGGCACGTGCCTTCCCAAACACCCGTATCGCCCACATCACCGCATGCAACTTCACGCGAACGCAGTAGGTTCACAACCATCATTTGACCCGCACGATCGATCCGATATACTTGGGTCTTTGGAGGACCACCTCCAAGAGTACAGCTGTCACAGCAGGGTCTTCTAGTTTGCTAATCTGCATTTCATTACGACTACCACATGCAATGCCTTCTACCCAACTTTCTAGGTTGTGGACGATCAAATATACAAGATCGCCGCCAATAGAATGCAGGAAACCAACAGACCAAACTGCGCTGCGTAGGATTGTACCGCTGACCCTACGAAAACCTGACGACGCTGTTGAGCCTGGTGTTGAGTCGGCACACTCTGAGGATTGCGGAAGACATTATCAGGATCAACTGCCGCCTTAATCTGCTGCAAGCGAGGCACATTGCCGCCCCAGTAGGCCTGCTGAGGGTCCGCAAGTTCAGGATCGACGTAGCCTGGGTACGCGCCTTGATCGCACGTCTCCTTCTGCACCAAGCTGCTAAGGCCAGACAAGAACGTCTTGGACGCGTCGGTGACAGGTCCTCCAAGATTGACGACATAACTCTGCATGAAGTAGGCGGCGTCGCGGTGCCAGTATGCGGTAGCGGTCTGCGGCACATCGGCGATGGCTCCACCTTCGAGATCCCAAATGACGAGCCACACGGGCGCTCCCTTCTCAGTGCCATTGATGTAGGAGAACATGGATTTGATGGCTTCGTCCGACAGCAGTTTGTGACTGGGCGTCTTGACACTCTTAGCATAGAAGGGGATGGGGAAGCTGCCGCTGGCTGTCAGGTCTGGTTCGCCGAGTCCTGGGAACGGAAGCTCGCCAACGGTGATGTCCACAACGACGGATGAAGTATTAGCAGGAAGGATAGACTGCGCGTTCAGCTTATCGAAGTCGGACTTGGGCCCGTAGAAGTTGCCGTTGATGACCATCGAGCCCTGGCTGAGAGTCATGGTGCTGGAGAATCGGCGGTCGAGATTCTTCTGCGTGCCAAACTTCTGCCATTTTTGGAACGTGCTTGCGAAGGCATTTGCGTCGTCGGCCGCGATGGTGTACGCGTACTTGGTGATCTCGGTCGGCGCGGGCGCAGTCTTCATGGTGAACTCTGTGACAATAGCGAAAGAGAAACCGGCGCCTCGGATGGCGAAGTACAAGTCGGGGTTCGTGGTTGCACTAGCTGTCACTGCGGTGCCGTTTGCGAGCACACATTGCGCTGACACGATTTGATCAGCTCCGACGCCCAGCTGGCGACTGAGCGTTCCGAGACCTCCAATGGTCAAGTGGCCACCCGTGCCGATGACGGCTACTTCACCGTATGCCATAACCCGCTTGAGAGGTAGAAGCTTCTCGGAGATGTTGCCGAGGAGATTTCCCTGTGAAAGGTGTGCACGTCAGGGCATGTACAACAAAGGGCGTTCACTACAGGTGTAGTGTCAGGAAGTCACCTACCGGACCGAAAGTCACCGTGTGGTCACCCTCGTTGTACGAGAACGATGCCATATTCTTCATGTCCACCACCAATGAGCCATTGAACCCTCCAAGAGCTATGTGCGACGTTCGTGTTAGCAAGTTCTTAATCACAACTCGTCCTTCTGGGTTCAGGCTTACCATAGTTCGCATAGCTATGGCCGCCGCTGCGCGCCTGTACTGCGACTCCTGCGGCGTTCGCACACTTCACGACCTCCGACACTTGCTCTTGCGTCTTTGGGAATGAAATCGCGGCTGGAACGATGTTGTAATTGAGATTGTATGGGTGTACATCTCCCTGCAAGAACATTGGGTCGTTCGGCAGCATCCAAGTGCTGGTATCGTTGCTGAGGGCCGTTTGGAGGCATTGCACGAATGGGGCGTTCTGGGCTGTAGCAGCAGTTGCAGCCGTTAAAACGGTCGCTACCAAAACGTTCTTCATCGTCGGAAACCGATGGTGAGGCTGAGGTATGGTAAGGACTGTTGGTGGGCGAGTATGGCGAAATAGAGAGATGACAAATTCTTGAAGCGAGCGGATGAAGAAGAACTTAAGGAAAAGAGCCTTTAGAAAGGCAGTTCTATCATCTTATGTCGAGAGACTTAGTCTGCTTGGTTTGTCGCCCAAGCCTCAAGCCTTAATCCAGGATGTCCAGGTAATCTTACATACCGCCGTCTCCGATGTCAGCCCTCCATCGTTCAACAACAGTTCCTCCAGTAACCTTCGCACAGCACCGAAAGTAGACTGTGCCTGCAACGCCAACTGCGCTTTGGTATTGGTTCGCACTGGTCCTTCAAGCTGCCATGTGGCAGGCGCAGATTCTCGAGCATCTCGAGGCTGCAGCGTCTCCGCACGTCATCAGCCTTGTGCGCACCATCATGATCGCGCGCAACCAAGCGACTCACTTTCCGAAAGAAAGACCGGTAAGCACAAAGCTGACAGAACGAGGCTCAAGGCGGGCAAAGTAGTGGTTTTACTTCGGTGTTTGGGTTCGAGGTAAGATCAGGGGAAACGTATTCTCGACCAATCACGGGGCGTCGCTGGAAAGATCCCCCGCGTTCCACATCCACGCATTGACTGGGCGCTGGCTCTTCCCTGCCGGCACCATCCGGGCATTGAATTGCTTACTACGCTAGGTATGCCACGACTGTTTGGCAATATACCTAGGTAGCATGTTCCTTCTCAACCGATGCTGTCGTCGTGTTCAGAGGCTCAGCACTGTGCGGTCGCGTCAGCGCAATGCGCGTCGCACTTGCAAAGATGACGGGCGTGCTCCTCAGCTAAAGCTCATCTCGACACAAGAAAACAAGACTCGCAGCTGTGGATATGAACGACGTCGGCCTCGTGCCAGAACCCTAACCTTAGGCACGCAGCTCTCGCGCCGTATGTCTGACCGTAATGCGCACCCGTCCAGTCTGCTTCTACAAGATGGGGATGGACAACCGCGAGGCTACGTAAAGCCAACAACACGCCGCCGCCCATTGTCGGAAAGAAACACAGACGTCAGCTGCAACAAACGCAGTCGAAAGATCGCCGAACTGAAGATGCCTCGCCACAATAAAGAAGGACGACAAGCCTGCACGCGCACTCGAGTCGCGTCCTTCTGGGGGATCTCATGACGGGCTCTCCCGTGAGCGTCCTCTGTTGCCAACAACAAAGCACTTGATGCGCTCCCGGTGCAAGTCCACGGCCCGACACAGACGTCTTGAATCGGGCGAAATTGAGCCGACGTAGCATAGCACCCGGCGGTAGTCGACAGAACGCTTCCGGTGGATGCCGTTGATGTAAGCAGGCCAACATCGGACGTCCTCGTCAGCAGTTCACAGAAATGGAGCTAGCTAGCGAACCAAATATCGCTTTCTACAAGATCTCTATTTAGTATGCCTACAAATGTTGCTGACGGTATCACGGGTGGAAGATGACGAGGGTCACTATCGAAAAGAACCAGATGTAGTGAGCTCCGTTTCGTTTCCGGGGAAAGCAATGATCACATTGGAACCCTAATTGGATTTACAGCTATATGATGTATTAACTCGCTTTTCTGGCGTGACTCCTAGCCTCCTACTTCGCCCCATTCGTCTCATCCGCCTTCTCTGGCGTAGGCGCAAACTTCGAGCGTTCCCGAATCGGGCCACCATACTTATAAAACACAAACGGAATAGGCGCAAGCACACAAGCCATACCAGCAATAAGCGAACCACCGCCACCAACACCAAGAGCGTCAAACATGTACTGCGTGAACAGCGGCGCAGCAGCTCCCGCGGCGGAGCGCACAACGGTATTCGCTGCCAACGCGCTCGCAGCGTACATGAGATACGTGTCGGTGAGGTAGTTGAGATAAGCGACGAAGATCAACAAGATAGAAGTCGAGAGGAAGACACCGCCGAGCGTAGGAACGACCCAGTGAACGCTGTTGTACTCTGCCGACCACGCGAACCAGAACATCGTGACCGGGAACATGACGCCGCCGAGCATCGCTACAGGAAGCCGGTCTTCGGGTGTGGCTTTGTAGCCGGCTTCTGCCCTCTTTCTATCCCTGGCTGTGTTCGCGAAGATGATGGCGCCGCCGATGGCGGCACCAAGGGCAGAGCCGATGAGTGGTAGTTCGCCGACGCCGGAGTTCCAGCCGCGGTGTTGTTGGAAGACGATGGGGTAGATGGTGAAGAGCATGTATAGTAGGGCGTATACGACGGCGAGATAGATGGCGACGGCGAAGGAGATGGGGTCGATGAGAATCTTCCACGGTCGGGTGAGGGCAACATGGAACATGCCTGCGAGGGTCCTATCCGTTACTTCAACTGGTGCCTTGACCTGTTCATGGCCAGGGATCTTCAGGGCGCGTATGCGCTTGGCTTTGTTGCGGAGCACGATTGAGGGCAATGTCTCCGGAATCGTGAACATGAGTATCTCGGTAAAGGCACCCAGCCAGAGAAGGACGTAGAAGCACCATCGCCAGTCTTTCTTTAGTTGGAGAAAGCCTGATATGACGGGTCCGAGCGAGGGGCCGATGAAAGTCATCATGGAGAAGGCGGCCATTGCATTTCCGCGCTCGAGGGGTCCCCAGATGTCTGCCAGTACACCTGGTGCATTGGACAGAGGAGCACTTGCAAATGTACCCGTCAAGAAGCGTCCCACCAGGAGCCCACCGAAGTTCGGCGTGAACGCGCAAAGGAAGTTGAAGGCCAGGTAGAGCGTAAAGGTAACGTAGAAGATGTATCTGCGACCGAAGAATTCCGAAAGCGGGGCGAATACCAAGGGACCAGCGCAGTACCCCAGAAGGAACAAAGTGATAACGAGCCCCCCAGCCTCGGTGGAGACGTGCAAGTCTGTCGATAGAGATTCAAGCGTGCCAGATGGGCTGGACGAAGCGAATGTGGCGTTCACAACTAGGGTGACCGACACCACGGTGATGTACCATCTTCTTGCGGTGGACCAGTTCTTAGGGTTCTCGATATCATTAGGGCCGAACTCAAGCAACCCTTCATCGTTAAGGTATATTTCTTCGGAGGCCTCTATATCGCCGGTCTTGTATGGCTTCGCTGTCGGCCGCGACAAGAATCGCTCTAGCTTCTCCATGCCAGACGATGGTGGTGAGAATATGGGGAGAAGACAACAGTGGAAACAAGCCTTTCCCCACGGCTTGGTGCGTTATACATAGGACTACCTAGGTTTTCAAGCCACACTCATGCACGGATGATGAAATGGCTTCGGCCGAGGCCATGGTTGGTAAGGGCTCGGAGTTCGTCATTCCGCGGAGGACGGCAGCCGAGCGTCCGCATAAATCCACAGCATCATCGAATCATGAAGGTCGGTATAACGTCAGCTCTGACTTTGGAACGGTATGTCGCTGGAATTTGACTTAGAAGTTGAACTGATGACGTCAAAACTGGTGGGATTGTACAGTTGAAGTGGTCGCGACATAAGGTAAGACGTGAGATGGCGCAGTCAGTTGGGTTCGGCAATAACGAACGATGACATCAACAAGTTGCCGCGCCCCAATTTTTGCCCATGCTTTTTACTTGTTCGCTACACAGCAACAGCAGACACTCAAGGCCATCCGTGTTGCGCATTGTCGATGATGTTCTATAAATACTCTCATGACAATGGGAGCCTAGTGCTGTTGATACCACACTTCAACCAAGTCTTCGGTCGCACAAGAACATACTCAGGCATTGTAGCGCATGCCCAACAGTCGATGAGCAATGCGGCAGCTACGGACGCTGTCAGCTTAGGCGGAGAAGATGGAGAAAACGGAAGAAGCGGGTGCGCGGAGAGGTGGTGCTGAAAGGTGGAGCGGAAGCGCAGCTGCAGCCACCACAACCAGCCCGAGAATGTGTGCGAGCCTAAGGATCCACTACCGGCTGTCGTTATCTGATTCAGGCGCGCTGCGAGCCTCGAATAGCGTCCGCATCATCGCTGTAATACCCATCATCGTCAGCGCTCGCTCGTCCAGTCAACTCGTACTCTCCAGCATCTCCCAACTTTGTGGCAGGGCCATCATCAACGTCTTTAAACATGCGATAGAACACAACCCCCGCAACACCAGCAATGAACGCCAATCCAAAGTACAACCACTGCAAGTGCGGGTCTCTTGCCAATGGCGCAATCAAAATACCCAGCGCACTTCCACCCGCGCTCGTGAGTAGGAAGAGACTCATGATGAAGCTCTTCATGTTCTCGGGTGCCTTCGCATATGCCAGTTCCAAGCCGGTAACACTAGCGAGGATCTCGCTCAGTGCGATCAACACGTATGCTGGGGCTTGCCATGCGACGTGGACTTCGTTTGGTTTGAACTTGCCCTCGCTGATCTTTCCGGTGTCGCAGTTCGATGGACTGTAGTAGCAAGGTGGTGCCGCGTAGATCTTTGATTGGAGAGCGCCTGCGTATAGCATGGCGAGCGCGGCCATGAGGAAACCGAGAGAGATGCGTGTTATTGGCATCAATGCGATGTGCAGTCGTGTACGGATGAACGGGTAGACGAGGCGGTCCATGATCGGGATAAGGATGATGATGGTGACGGGATCGATGTTGGGAAGGATGTCGTTGGGAAGGCGATGCAACTCCATTTGACCGGCTTGCGAGACGAAATTGTTCAGCATCTGCGAGTACGAGAGCCAGTAGATTGGGAAGAACAAGAAGACTTTGCATGCGACCAGCGCGGTCTTCAACTCGTCGATGAACTTGTCGTCCCAAGTCACCTTCGACCTACTTCTCCCGTGCCCTTGAGCGGAAGCTTTCGCTTTGTCAAGATCTCCGCCGTTCCTTGCGGCGATGTATAGGGCGCGAAAGCAGTTCCCAATCACCCCGCCTTGAGGTGGCTTGATGATGTACTGCTTCCTCCCTCTCACCAACACCACATAGCCCACGCAGAACATGACCAATGGAAGAAGATATGCGCTCCAGAAACCAACATGCAACTCCAACATAGTCGTCGCTATCGCGGAGATGGATCCTACGTTGATGCACATGTAGAATATCATGTAGATCCTCTGCACCGTGACCTCCGGATCGACGATGACCCGCTTGCCGCCGGGCAAGTCCTTGACAAAAGGTTTGTTAGACCGCACTTGCTCCGCGATCAACGGCGACACATTGCTCTTGATGCCACCAGTACCCAGGCCGATGACCAGCATCGCGACAATGAGTCCAGGGTATGCGGCTCCACCTCGAACCGCCCACGGCAAGCTGGTGATAAAGAGAATCGCGATGCCGACCATGTACACCAGACTGAACCACTTAATCGTCGCATACTTCCCCAGATACTGGTCCGCAACAAGGGCGCCAAATAAAGGCGTGAGGTAGCACCAGAATTGGAAGAAGTTCGTCATCGCTGTCGCACCACTCTGCTTCAAGCCAAGAGCGCCAGGTAGGCCATTGGGGTCGTTGTATTCGTTGGCGATGTAGTTCTGGAAGGGCCCGGAGAGTCCGTAGTAGGCGAAGCGCTCACAGAGCTCAACAACGGCGACTAGGAAAGCGCCATATGGCAACGTATCCGCTACGCGAGGCAGAAATAGCAGATCCTCTGCTGTCGGTATGGAGCCAATGTGAACAGGCGCTTCAAAAGGAACGGCATCCGCGTCTTCATTTGCGACGTCTTTGTCATGTACTGTGAGGTGTGCACTTGCAGTCTCGGTCTGCGCAACAGTCGTGTAGGCACCCCGCTCTTCACCATTCTGTCGCCAAGATGAAGCCATCTTGAATTGAGTTGTTCGATCAGGTGTTCCTTGGTTATGCTCTCTTGGTGCTTGGTGGTCCTATTCACTTGATTGGGACCCGTCACGGCGATCAAAGTCTCTTGCTGCTATATCCTGTGCGCACGCTCATGGCATGGTCGGAATGCGTATTGCGTTCATGGCGGCGCGGTGTTGCCTGAAATATGGAGACTGAGCCGTGAGTTGATGAGATTGGAGATGAAGACACGCGTTCGCGGCCTCGGGAAGGTGAGACGGTGCTCGTGTCCGGTCTAGGCCGGATCGGTTGCTGAATACCCCACAACACATCACAACCGTTCAAAGCCATGCCTTTCGCAATCGCACATGAACCATCATATTTAAATGCAGTTAGGACTGATAGCTATCGCGAGCTGGGCATGCTACTAGTGGGCAAATATTGCTTCTGCCGAATACACTCGCTCAAGAAGAAAGGCCCGGAGGTACAGTTAATAGAATCGCGATCGCCCTTCGAAGCGGACTTGAAGGGTGCGCGACAGTCCAGCGAAAGCGAAGCAGGGTCTTCGCATCAAACGTCTTCGATCGAGTGCCGACCGCAAGTACATCCGCCCTGACTACCTCTTAGCAAATCAATCCTCCTGCATACCTGCATATCGGTAGCCAAACCCCTCAAGCCACTATCCCCTCCTCTTCTCGAACAGCCCCCTACCTAGGCGTAGCAGGCGGCGTCATAATCCCACCTCCACCTCCACCCGCAATCATACCACCACCCTCACCCGCCTCACATTGCGACACATGAAAGGCCCTCAGCACGTTCTTGTTCTCCGAGAACTCCTCCCACGCACTCTCATCCTCCAGTATAGCCGGCATCCTCATCCTCACACACTCGATGATGGCTTTGCGCAGTCCGCGGTCGTTCTCTGGGCATTGGTCGTGGTATATGCATGTAGCCAGGTCGACGATCATGAGTGGGTCGGTTATGAAGGGGAGGCGGTCGATGATGGCTTCGGCGGCGCGGCGCTTGATGTTCTCGAGGTTGTACTGGGTTGGGGGTTAGTATGAAGGTAGGGAAAGAGAGGTACGAGAGAAGTTACCTTGTCCGCGGCGATGAAAAGGTCCAGGAGCTGGTTCATCATGAGTTCCTTCTCAATTTCCATGCGAAGCGCGAAGTTGGTGAAGATGGAACCAGTGGTGGTGTTGTAGACACCGTACATCTCATCTAGGAGAATGGAGATGACTTGTGCTGACTCTGGGAGTTCGATGGATTGCTTTGCGGTCTCTGCGAAGCCACCACTGCAAACTGCTTTGAAATAGTATGACTCTTTGCAAAGCTTGACGCGATGGACGCGGAAATCACTACCCCCTGCGACAACGGTGAAGTCCGACCACTCTCCTGTCTTCCGGAGGCGAAGCCACTCAGAAGAGTCAGCAGGAACGGCCATCCAAGGTTGCGGAGCTCGGCTCGTGAAGCCCTGCTGTTCCATGTCGAAGTCGGGCTTGACGAAGGCGACCTTCCTACCACCAATGTTAGTCTCATGCGCAACATCGGATGTGGAAGGGTGCATACTGAGGGACTTCATAGCTGTAGAAGAAGTGGTTGCCAGCCGCCGTCGCAATATCCTCCAGCACATCTAGGAAGCTACGAGCTTGGTCCGGCGCCACGAATACCAGATCGACTTGAAGGTGCTGGAAGAGGATTGACACTTTCTTGCTCTTGTCGCGCCAGGCTGCTGCGCGTGCAGTCTTGGCTTGGAAGTAGATTGGCTCATTGGTTTCGGGGAAGCGGAGGACGAATGCGATACTAGCAGACGCGTATACGACGAAGCCAAACTCAGCGTTGGCACGATCGAGGAAGAGGTTTGTATGGACGGTGATCTTTTGCTCCTTGCCAATGGTGAAGGACTGGAGCGACCAGAGAACTGACTTGGAGTCCTCGGTGGGAGGGTTCGGGAAGGGAGGCATGGTGATGCGGAAGGTTGGAGATCGTGCGAGGGGTGCAGCGATATATGGAACAAAGGGTCGCTGGTGTAAGGAAGATGTAGTAGTGAGGTACAAGATCAATAAAGAGAGTCAGGTTTGAGGCGAGTTGTTTCCAGTCCAGCTTCGCGGTGATGAGGACAGCGATATTGTCAGCGGTGAGCAGTGAGCGATGAGCGGAGATTGTCGCAATGGCATCGCAAACAGGAGTCCAAGGCTCTGCCCAATCGGCTTACTCGATTGAGTCACTATTAGTAAGTTCAGCCTGGTGATGAGAGATGAAGAGTTGTATATCAATTGCGGCCATTGGGAGGCGTAGGATGAAATCGATTATTATATTGCGACTTGGTGCTATCAAAGCCGTGGGCAAAGCCGGACCCTACAATCAATTTTTGATCATTTGAATCCGACACTCCGTGCCAGAGGCTATGCCGTGATATGTATCGCGCCCTTTAACGCCGATGGCCCAGATGTTGTACAGTAAATTCGGGAGAAGATCGTTGATATCGCATAACGCCGAGCTTGAGATAGAGCTCACCAGGTCGTCGCGACCTGCGGGTATTCCTTCTTGCTGATCTTAAGGTCGTCATAGACAGAGTCGTCACCTAAGACCCTATTAGCACACATCACATTGGCCAACGGCTTAACAACATACCGTGAAGATGCTCGACGCGCAACTCATCCTCATGTTCAAGCTTCTCAATCTCCTCCTGTGGTGTCTCCTTGTCATGCTTCTGGTCCTTGATAGTCGGCTCGACGCCACTCTCCATCTTCTCGCCGATGAGCAAGATCTGGCAGTATTCGTAGTCCAGGTACTTCGGCTTGACTTCGACCCAAGCAAGTCCGCGGAACTCGTCGATAAACCTGGCAATGGTCAGTCATGGATGATTGGTCATATCGGAATCACTTACTCCTTGGGAAAGTCGGGCTTCTGAGGAAGCTGGGCGGAAGCCGGCCCGCTGCGCTCAGGGTTCTTGACGCTCATGACGAAGCTGCCCTGGTCCTTGATACCCAGGTCTTCCTGAACCTCTCCAAGCTCCGAAGGTATGGTGGTAGAGTATACGAGGTGGCACGTCCGGTCCTCAGTGCGTGTAATGGCATACACGCCTTCCGCTACCGGTGCGACAGGCTCGGTGCGTCGGCTGCCTTGTGTCTTGGTCTCGTACTCGTCCGCACCAAAGAAGCTCTCCTTCAGCTCTTTGATGGAAGTGTTCGCCTTCTCGACAAATGCCATGAATTTATCATTGTGCGACTTCGGGAAGACCTTCTTGGGCAGCGCAAAGAGTCGGATGTTGTTGTCGTCGGCGAGTGCACCGTCACCTAGCTTGGCTCCGGATGGCATTGGTCGGAGGACGAAGAAGGTGCGTTGAAGGTCGCCGACGCTTTCGGATTCCTCGACGCCGACGCGGTTGCGGGTGAAGAAGTAGATGACGCCCTTCTCGAGGATGTTGGACGGCATTTGCTTTGCGCGCTGGGAGGACTCCTCGATCGCGCCTTCGCCATCTGCGCCAGTCTCCTTTGTCGCGTTGTCCGATTTGTTTTCGCTCTTCTCTTCCTGTGTAGTCTCTTCGGCTTTGGGGGCGGCGTCGGTGTCTTGTTCCGCCTGGTCGTCGGTGGTCTCCATATCAGTTGATGCAGGCTTGTCATCATCGCCATTGGCCAATGCCGTCGCGTCGCTCGCATCAACGAGGTCTTCAGCGGCCTTCTTCTCCGCCTCCTCTGCATCTTTGGAGTCTTGACCCCCATCCGAGGCGTCCTTCATCTCGCTGTCAGACTCCTTGCTGGCATCCATTGTCTCCTCGATAGTGGCTTGCTTCTTGGACGCCTTGCGGTCGCGCTTGGGAGACGGCTCGACTTCGGGCTTGCGTTTGGTGCCAGCTGTGACATCGTTACCCTTTGCTGGGCTGGAGCCACCGTCGGTGCTGCGTGCAGAGGAGCGTGTTCCTGCCATTGTGGATGCGGTGAGGTCAATTGAGTGAAGTAGTGTATGTTTTTTGAAGAATGAGTGAAAGGATGGGAGAAAGATGGGAGAAGTAATAAAGGAGGCGGATGTTTGCGCGCGCTGGTGGTTTGTGGCAGGCGCGTCGCGTGAAATGGTGACGTCAATGGCAGTCATTAGCACATCGACGCGTCAGGAAGGCACGTGCAGCATTGGACCATCAGACGGAGGCTGCGAGCGGTCATGAGCGAGAATTTGAGAGCGCGTGAGATAGCGTCGCGCATTCACGCGCTTGATGTAGCAAACCTATCGAAGCTGATATACAAGGCCTTCGTATCGTACATTCTCTCATCGAGCGCACCCCGGTCCACGTAGACGAAGCCACAAACGACATTGCTTATTCGTACTTCTCGAGAAAGGCGTGAATGCCGTCGGCGATCCCCTCCGGACTTGGCTTCTCAGCGCATACATCAGGAGTGAAGCCAAACTCCTGCTTCAGATAATCGCGCGTGGTCGGGCCGATGGTGCATATCAGGATGTCTCTCTGATCAGTAGTAGCCTTGACTCTCCCAGTCTCCATATCCAGAAGACCCAGGCTCTCAAGCATCGCTTGACAACCGCTTGGAGAGAAGACAACGACCCACTGCCGTTTCGAGCCCTGATCCGCGTTCCTGCGCCAGATTGTCGAAAAGTCCTCCTTGAAAGACTGCATCTCTCCAGTCTCGTATATAACCAATTCATCTACTCGCGCCCTCTCTTTTGGATCCAGCTCTTCTGACTGCAGAGTCTTTGGTATTATGTCCCTCCTCTTATCGCCGACCATGAACAGTACGGGCGGATTCGCAACACCTGGATGAAGGGCATTGTAATGCTTCAGGATGAAGCCAGCCAGAGCTTCGCCGGTACCGGTTTCCTCTCCCAGGATTGGACACTTAAGACCCAGTGATCGCAGTCCGCGAGCTGTAGCTGGGCCTACTACGTACAGCGGCAGACTCTCTGGCAGCAGGTCGTCGATGTCGAGGGCGCCTTCCTTACGTATTTCTTCGACAACCTCGCTGAAGGCTTCAACTGCACGCTGCGAGGTGAAAATCAGCGCACCATATGTCGCCAGACCCTGCTGCGCTTGTGGCACGAAGCCGCGATTGGTGACATGTTGGCGCACCTGACGCAGGGCATCTCGCTTGAACCTATGCTCGAGGACGGGCACGAAGACGGGCGCATAGCTGCCCTGGTCGAGCTCAAGGAAAAGCTCTTCGTACGTGTCTTTGGGCACTGACTTGGTCTTGAGCAGCAGAATGGGGATGCTGCCCCGCGATTGTTCCGCCATAGCCGTGGTTTGGTGTGTGCGTCTGGTGTTCGAGGCCCCGAGTGAAGGGTCAGGACTGCGGGCGGCACACTAGCCCGCCCGCTAAACATCGGGAAAAGTTGCCAGCATCCGTGGTTCACTCGAGACCCTCGAATTTAATAGTTGTCCTCCCACCGCCTGCACGTCCCGCCTGCACATTCACGACTCGGCGGTCTACCCAGCTCTCGCAGACCTCTCTCCCCCGCTGCAACTCCCAGTCAGCCCTCAACCCAATTGACTGCACAGCAAACATGGCCGACGTCGCAACTCCACCCGCCGCCCAGGCCTCGACCAACGGCGCTGCTGCCCCTCCGGCGAAGCAGCAGGTTGTGAAGCCCGACAAGCCCGACGAGGACAAGTACAAGGAGGAGCTCGCCAAGCTAGAGAAGGAGCACACCGCCGCCCAGGAGAAGCTGGTGAGTACATGGCCCCGTGTGGTGCGCGCAGTCGCACGGCCACGAGCTGACGGGTGGCTGCATCGCACACCACCACTCAATCCGGGAAAATTACTAACGACACCCAGAACGCGTGCAAGGCCAAGCTCGACCTCGCCAAGCCCAACAATAAGGACTCGCCCAACGCGAAGCGCCAGCAGGAGCTCAAGACGGAGCTCAACGCCATCCGCTCGACCCAGCAGGGCAACAAGTCCGGCCGCAACTCCATCTTCGAGAAGATCAAGAAGCTCGACGAGCAGCTTAAGCAGCAGCTCAACGAGCTCAAGACGGCCAAGGGCAAGTCCAACTACAAGTCGGCCGAGGATGTGGACCAGGAGATTGCCCGTCTGCAGAAGCAGGTCGATGGCGGCATGATGAAGCTCGTCGACGAGAAGAAGGCCCTGGCCGAGATCAGCGCCCTCAACAAGGCCAAGAAGAACTTCTCCGGCTTCGACTCCCAGCAGAAGAAGATCGACGACATCAAGGCCCAGATCGCCGAGCAGAAGAAGCTGCTGGACGACCCGGAGAACAAGGCCCTCTCCGAGAAGTACACCAAGCTCCAGACCGAGCTCGACGGACTCAAGGCTGAGCAAGACGAGGCCTTCAAGAACCTGAGGTCGCTCCGTGAGGAGACCGACAAGGCGCGCGCAGTGCAGCAGGAGAAGTATCAGGCCCGCAAGGAGCTCAAGGACAACTACTTCCAGCAGCTCCGTGCGTTCAAGAACTACGAGTTCGAGGCGCGCAAGATCCGCAACGAGAAGAGGCGCCTCGAGCAGCTCCAGTACGTCGCCGGCAAGCGCAAAGAGACTGCTTCCAAGCGTCTCGAAGAGGCCAGCGCACCCGCCTACGGTGACGAGATCATTGCCTGCGAGGGCTTGATCCGCCACTTCGACCCCTCCGCACTCCCCGCGAAGGAGACTACCGCCGCCAGCAAGTTCGCCGCCTCCGCCCAGCGCACCGTCGACGACTCGGGCCTCAAGGGTACCCGCATATCGAAGAAGGACACCGAGGAGGAGAGCTACATGGCTGGTACTGGTGGCAAGAAGGGAAAGAAGGGCAAGAAGGGCGGCGCTGCTGCCAGCAAGTTCAACCTCAACATTGGTATCATCGAGGAGCTCGCCAAGGTCGGCGTCGACCCCCCATCAAGCCAGGACGAAGTTCCCGCCACCGTCGAGAAGCTTCAGGCCAAGCTTGCCCACTGGAAAGAGGACCAGGACCGCAAGACCAAGGAGGTGAGTGATTCTACATACCACTACGGGGAGGCTGC